GAGGTGCACCATGTCCTATGTACAGGTTTGTGGTGATGTCAACACAGTAACTCAGGCTGAACTCAGCCCATGCTGAGCTCTGCACAAACACCTCCTGTAGCATTAATGTATCATCACCATTAATCCCCCTGACAACCCTACAAGGTGAGTGATGTCTGTTTTACAAATAAGAAGATCAAAACTCAGAGGTTAAGTCACTTCGCCAAAGACACACCCTAACAAGTGGCAGTCCAGGCCTCAAATCTAGGCCTGACTGGTTTTCTTGCTGGGTGCTTAGGGGTGACAGAACCAGGCCCCCCTCTGCCCTGCTGGCCCCAGGAGCATGTTCCTCCCTGTCAGACCACCAGGCCTTCTGTTGGGGTTGGTCACATGGTCACCCTCGCTGTGGGGCTGATGCAGGTGGCATGTTCCTGGTGTGTTCACAGGGAAGGTCCTCAGAGAAGATGAGTCACGCAGCACACCATCACTGAGACGCCCCTACAGGCAGGAGACCCAGAAGCCAAGATGACATCACCTCCATCTTCCCTCTCTCCTGCCCAGACTGTTTAAAACTGATCCTGACAGATAAACAGTCACGTAGGAAACGACACGCATATGGGGATGCCTGTTGTGTTGTGTCTGAAAGCAACAACATGAAATCAACCCAGATGCCAAAAGAAGGGCTAAGTTTGATGAATGATGGTCTATCCACATGGCAGAATGACTCATAGCCATTAAAGTGGTCCTAAGGAATATCTGTATTTATCGCCCTGGAGCAACAGTTACAGTATATCAAGAGATGAAACTGATTATAAAAAATCATGTGTCCTGTAGAATCTCATTTAAATGAACAAAGTATGTATGTGCATAGAAAGTAACTGGAGTTTGGCCGGGCATGGTGGCTCATACCTATAATCCCAGCACTTTGGGAGGTAGAGGCAGGCAGATTACCTGAGGTCATGAGTTCGAGACCAGCCTGGCCAACATGACAAAACCATGTTTCTACTAAAAAAAAAAAAAAAAAAAATTATCTGGGTATGGTGTCAGGTGTTTGTAATCCCAGCTACTCCAGAGGCTGAGGCAGGAGAATTCCTTGAACCTGAGAGGCAGAGGTGGCAGTGAGCCGAGATTGTGCCACCGCACTCCAGCCTGACAAAGCGAGACTCTGTTCCCCACCCCGCAAAAAACACCCTGGAATTGTATACACCAAAATGTTAATACATTATTTTGGGTTTATTTGTTTATTCCTTCATTTAGCCAACTAACATTTATTGAGTTAACGGCCCATTTATGTGCCAGGAAGCACACTAAGTGCTAGGAACAGAGTAGTAAATACAATCAGGGGATGGGATGATCAATGATTTTTTTATCAGACTATTTTTTTGAGCAGTTTTAAGTCCACAGCAAAACTGAGAGGAAGGTACCAAGATTTCCCATATACTACCTGCCCCTACACATGCATAGCCTCCCCCATGATCAACATCCCCCATCAGAGGATACATTGTGACAGCTGATGATCTTACAGAGACGCATCATCATCACCAAAGACCACCATTTACATTAGGGTTCACTCTTGGTGCTGCACATTGCATGGATTTTGACAAATGTATAATGACATGGATGCAGCGTTAGAGTGTCACGCAGAGTTTCACCGTTCTAAGTATCCTCTGCTGTCTGCTTATTCCTCCCTCCTCCGCTCTCGCCCCTGGAAACCACTGATCTTTTTACTGTCACTAGTTTTGCCTTTTTCAGAGTGCCATATAGTTGGAGCCATACGGTATGTAGCCTTTTCAGATTAACTGCTTTCACTTAGTAATATGCATTTCAGTTTCCTCCATATATTTTCATGGCTTGATAGCTCATTTCTTTTTGGTGCTGCATAATATCCCACTGTCTAGATGAGCCACATTCTATTTATTCATTCACCCCCTAAAGGACATCTTAGTTGCTTCCAAGTTTTGGCAATTACGTGCAAAGCTGCTACAAACAACTGCACGCAGGTTTTCATGTGGACATTTGTTTTCAATCCTTTGGGTAAACACCAAGGAGCACAATTTCTGGGTAGTGTGGTGTATTCGTTCATTTTCGCACTGCTATCAATACCTAAGATTGGGTAATCTGTTAATAAAAAGAAAAAAGGTTTAATTGGCTCACAGTTCTGCAGGCTGTTCAGGAATCATAGCGGCTTCTACTGGGGAGACCTCAGGAAACTTTTACTCACCTTTGCTGGCAAAGGGAGAGCCAGCATTTCACATGGCCAGAGCAAGAGGAAGGGAGGTGCCAAACAGTTTTAAACAATCAGATCTCATGAGAACTCACTATCGCGACAACAGCACCAAAGGGGGATGGTGTTAAACCACAAGAAATTGCCTCCATGATCCAGTCACCTCCCACCTGGCCCCAGCATTGCGGTTACATTTCCACATGAGATTTGGGTAGGGACACAGATCCAAACCATATCATATGGTAAAACCATGTCCAGTTTTGTAAGAAACTGCCACACTGTCTTCCAACATAGCTGTACTATTTTGCATTCTTACCAGCTGATATGGTTTGGCTCTGTGTCCCCACCCAAGTCTCCTCTCCAGTTGTAATCCCCACGTGTCAGGGGAGGGAATGAGTGGGAGTTGATTGGATCATGGTGGCAGTTTACCCCACGCTGTTCTCGTGATGATAAGTGAATTCTCATGAGATCTGACGGTTTTAAAGTGTGGCACTTCCTCATTCTCCCACATACTCCCTCCTGCTGCCTTGTGAAAAAGGTGCTTGCTTTCCCTTCGCCTTCCACCATGATAGTAAGTTTTCTGAGGCCTCCTAGCCACACTTCTGGTAAACCTGCAGAACTGTGAGTCAATTAAACCTTTTTCCTTTATAATTACCCAGTCTCAGGTGGTATTCTATCTATTTATTTATTTATCTGAGACAGAGTTTCACTCTGTTGCCGGGGTTAGAGTGCAGTGGCATGATTCCTGCTCACTGCAACTTCCGCCTCCCAGGTTCCAGCAATTCTACCTCAGCCTCCCAATTAGCTGGGCTTACAGGCACCTGCCATCACGCTCAGCTAATTTTTTGTATTTTTAGTAGAGACGGGGTTTCACTATGTTGGCCAGACTGGTTTAGAACACCTGACGTCAAGTGATCCACCTGCCTTGTGAGGCCTCCCAGTGTGGTGGGATTACAGGTGTGAGCCACTGTGCCCAGCCTCAGGTGGTATTCTTTATAGTGTGAGAACAGACTAATACACCAGCAACAAATGAGAGTTCCTTTTGCTCCACACATCCTCTCCAGAATCTGGTGTTGCCAGTGTTTTGGATTTTGGCCATTCTAATAGTGACATCTCATTAGACTTTAGTTTGCAAGTCTCTAATGACTTATGATGTTGAGCACTTTTTATATGCTTATTTGCCATCTGTGTGTCTCCTTTGGTGAGGTATTTGTTCAGGCCTTTTGCCCATTAAAAAAAAAATGTGTTGTTTCTTTATTAAATGTTAAGAGTTCTTTGTATATTTTCAATAACAGTCCTTTATCAGACATGTCTTTTGTAAATATTTTCTCCCAGCCTGTGGCTTTTCTTCTCATTCTTATAATGATAGGTGATTTTAAATTTCTTCTTCTTGATTATCTCATTTTAATAATTGTTTTGCAATATGTGTGCATCACTTGATTATTGATTATTAATCTCTTTAAAAAGCATTTAAAAGTTGAGCTCAAAGCCCGGAAAGGGAGGCTTTATATGTATGCCATATAATAATGTTTACATTAACCCTGTGAGGCAAACATATACTACTCTCGTGTGTGTGTGTGTGCGTGTGCACACGCACACGTATGTATGTGTGGGCACATGTGCATGCATGCACAGGTGCGGAAAACCAGAGTCTAGAGAGGAAAAGTACCTGGCTCAAGGTCACACAGCTCAAAAGGGCCACTGGTAGATTTGAATGTGGCCCTGTCTGACTCTAGAACTTGCAGCACCTGTTTTACACAGGAGCTCACTCGCAGAGGAGACAGGGCTCTGCTGGCCCCTCCGTGGCACAAGCTGCCCCTTCTAGGGTTCTGCGTCCACCACGACCAGCCTGGCATTGTCTTGCCTCTTGCATCTCATCACTTTCTTCTCAGCTCTAACTCCTAGAAATGCTTCCAGATTCTTTGCAGTGACAAGCCCAGCTTCAAATCACTGATGACTGTCTGCAGGATGAAAGGAGAAGCTAGGTGGGTTAGAGGAGAAGCAGACAGGAATGGCCAGCACAAAAAATAGGCCAGGAAGCCCCTCCCCTCCCTGCTTGGGGCAGTTCTCCCTGCTATTTCTGCCAACAGCCGGGCTAGACCGGCCTGCAGCAGGCAAACCTGCTCATCACCTTGCTCATGGCCTTGAGCTGAGCTTAATGTGCCTCACCTGAGACCTCAGCTGTGCTAGCCAGATATTGTGACTTAGCAGACAATGTTCTCCTCGCTTGACACCTCTGTAAAACCCTAGCCCAGGGCCTGGTCCCTAGCAGCCCCTGAATGCATGTCAGATGCACGACACCCGGTGATTGACTGGCCTCACAGATGCTTCCTCACCTCCTTCCATGGGTGCCACATTATTACGTTGCATCGTTGCTTTCTTGTTGCCACCCTTTCATTCATTCATTGAACAGAAACGTATGGAGCACCTGCTATATGCCAGGCACAATTCTAGGCTCCGAAGGTTCAATGGTGAACAAGAAAGTCCAAAACATTCCTTCTCTCGTGGAACTTAGTTTCCAATGGAAGAAGATAGCCTTTAAGCAGAATAAATTTGTATCTTACATAAAGCCGCATATGAAACCCTGATCAGTGCCACAAAGGAAGAGAAATGGGAGAGAAGAACAGGGCATGAGGTGTGTGGGAGGTTTGCAATTTTAAATAAGTAGTTCCTTTAAATAAGGTTTTTTTTATACTGTTACCCAATAAAGCTGCTTTTAAGCCTTCTTCAAAGTTAATCGTATGTCAGTTTTTTACAAGCAGAATCACCTGACACTTTTTGTTTGTTTTCCCTTTAGGGTTTTTGTCCCTCTCTTAAAGCAAGTGTTCACAGAGTCATGAGCAGATGGAAGATGCAGACGGAAGCACCTTCCCTGTCACCATTGGTATGTCTGGTTGAAACCTGCGACAAGGTATGTTTGGTGTCCTTGGTTGGCTGGGAGGCTGCAGCTGCGGCTTGGAGTTAAACAGGGGGCCTCGGGCCACCAAGGGCAGAGCCATGTGGAAACCCTGTGCCCTGGAGCCTCCTGTCTGCAGTCTCTGTGTCCTCCTGTTGGGTCACCAGCCCTGGGCAGCTGCCTGTGGCACCACAGGGGACTCCTCCCACAGACCCCGCCTGCTCCTCATCATGCACCTTTGCCTCCAGCAACGTTCTGCATGGGCCTTCTTGTTCCTCCACCCGGCAGTGCGGCTACCGCCTGAGAATTCTGGGCTGTATCCCTTCCCCTACTTGTGCTGGGGCAGCATCTTTGCACAGCCTGGCTTTGCAGCCAAGTCCTCTAACTAGTCATTCTGTTTTTCCCTCTCTGTGACCAGTGCCTGGCTGTTAAGCAGTCTCCTACTGCACACCCCCGTCCTGAGCTCACCCCAGCTGTCCCTCCCCAGGCCTCAGCAGAGCCCTCTCCTAAAGCTCCCATGGTCCCAGCTCAACACCTCCCAGTGGCTTCCCAGTGCTCAGAGACTCAGGCATCACCCAAGGCGCTCAGTGACAGCAGCGTTGCTGACTCTGCAAGCTCCACACACCACTCAAAGGCCACTCACATAGTAACAAGCGTTGGAGTCCAGTCCCAGACCCTCAAATGCAAACCCCAGCTCTGCTGATTTCTAACCAGACAGCAGTGGGCAAGGAATTCGACTTGTCTGTGTCCCCTCATCTTAGAACTTTAACACTGGTGTCCTTTTCCCCTAGGGAAGCGGATGGAATCATTGAGGTAATGTAGGCACAGCACTGGGGGGTGGACCTGCCATGTAAGCACTTGCGACTGTGACTGAAGCACAAAGTGGAAAGGGATTTGGCAGACAGTCAGGGTGGCCAGGTTCTCTGGCGTTGCCACGTCCTGGCTGTGTGTTCTTGGGCCAGTCTCTTGACCTCTCTGAAGTTCAGGTTCTTCTGGAAAGTGGAGATGTGGATCTTGGTGAGTTTTGAGAATCGGAAGAGCAGATGGAGGCTATAAACTGCTCAAGTGCTAAAGCATGGTGCAAATGATGCTGTGTGTCTTGAAATATATCAGCTGTAGACAGTATTGATATGTTACATTTAAATTAAAATTAAATCAAATGAGATACTCGGTTTCTTTGTCACATGTCAAGTGCCCCATAGCCACATGTGGCCTGTGACCATCACATTGAAAGAGCACATTCAGCACCTACTCATTCATTCACCACACATTCCTAGGGCAGGGAGTCCATCCCAGTGTCAGCCACAGTGCCCTGGGGACACAGAGAGCCACCATGCTGTCCTAGGACAACATTATGCCAGTCTCTCTCCCCCACCAGTCACCTCCCTTCCCTGTGCCTCAGTCTTCCCTCCCCTTCTGTAAAATGGGCAAAAGGGGGTAGAGTTTGTCAATGATCTCACTCAGCATGGCTCATGAGAGAGAAATCGCACAGTCTTCGGGGTTAGGCTGAGCTAAGTTTGAATCTCGGTTCCTTGCATAAGTCACAAACCGTCTCTGAGCCTTGGTTTCCCCACTTGGCCTGGCAGGATTGCAGAGAGGATTGCAGGAGGTAGCTTTTGTGGCACCATCAGCACAGCAAACCACCAGTCCTGCATTTAATGCCTGCAGAGTGAGGTGAGGGTTGAATGGAGGCAGGAGGAACATGTGAGGTCCCCACAAAGAAGAGGAGAGAGATTGGGAGGGAGAAGCAGGGGCGGCTCTGCTGCTGCTGGCTGAGCTGCTGCAGGGGTGCACGTGGCAGGTGGCACGTTCCCTCCACCCACTGGGCTCTGCATCTGGCAAGAGGCGGGGCACAGCCCGGACAGCTTAGCTCACGTGTTGCTGAGTCACCTCTGGGCCTTGAGGGATTCCTGGGAGGGGCATGAGGCGCTGCACGTCTCCATGTGGGAGGGAGATGGGAGGTGGCTTCCAGCCTCAGCCCTCTCTTGCCTTCAGCCTTCCCACTGCCCTCCTCTTCTCCAGCCTGGAGCAGTGGCCTTGGGATTGTGCCAGGCACTGACAAGCACCCATGGCCTGGGTAAGCCCCAGCGGGGAAAAGACCCTGGTTTCCCAGGCCCCAGCAAAAGGCCCACTTGGGGTTTAGGAGTTGAATCCAGACCCTGCCCCAGCCCTCCTGGAGCCCAGGTCAGTGGAGGAGACAAGCCTATAATTCTACCCCAAGGTGCATGGATGTTAGGTGCCAGGCCCTGCCACCGGCAACAGTAACCCTGGGTGGGACTCTTTGCTCTCTGAGCCACAGCTTGCAGGTCTGAAAAATGGATATGAACAACTGCTCTGCCCAGTCTCTTCTGGACCTGAGGACATGTGCTGTACAGATGGCAGGGCCTCCGTGAAGTCAGAAGCTGAGGCTCAGAGGAGGCTGACGACTGCAGCGGGCCAGCCTGGGGCAGGGAGGGCACCAGATTCTCGCTGGGGAGAAGCCTGGCTTTGCCATTCAGAGGATTTGGACGCTAGAGGACTTGGGACCTCATTTAATACCCCCGGCTTAGTTTGCTTCTCCCTCTTAAGCCAAAGTGTGTGCTGAAGGTGAGGGGAGAGGATGGCTGTGAGCAGCAGGGGCTTCCTGGGTGCCCAGGTGATCTGGCTTCCCCCTTACATGGCAGGTGCCTGGGTAATCTATGGAGTCATATGGTTTCGTACCTGGCTACTGTGTGTCTCCCATCTGGACCGTCAGCTGCCTGAGGGCAGGGGCCTTGAGGCCCCATTTGCAGCTGTATCCCCAATTCCTGAGCCCTCAAGAAATGTTTGTTGAATGAATAAAAGGGAGTGAATGGCAAAAGGCATGCCGAGAGTAGGCACAACCTCACCTCGCTGCCCCAGGAGGTCTTGTGTTTCCATAGGGGCAGTAACAAGGGTTGCTGTGAGACCTCAGCTGGGCATCAGATCCCAAGGAGGTGGGTGAGAGCAGAAGGTGAATGAGAGCAGGCGAGTGACAGCAGAGGTGAGTGAGGGAGCGGAAGTTTCTAGCAGCCCAAAAGCACTGAAAAAGAGAAGAGACTCATGTTTTCTCCCCAGGAGGCCCCGAAGAGTAACTGTGACGTCAGGTGGGGCAGTGCTGGTGAGGGACCCACCCCTGACTGCAGAGCAGGACACTGGGCCAGCTCAAAGCGTCGGAGCTGAGGAAGGGCACGGTGGACAGGCTTGGGTCTGGCTCCATGACTCCACCTGTGCTCTGCACCTCACCACATGGGCCTTGGTTTCCTCCTCTGTCAAATGAGTGAAGACTAAGATGAATGAATATTATTAGGGCACAGAGAAGACAGCTACTTGGGTTCAAATGGCAGAGTTTTGGTGCCATGAATTATCCCTGTTATTGCTGTTTAATTGAGGAATGACTCACCCAGAGAGAAAAATGCAGTGTGTACATCTTAAGTGGACCTGTGAGAATTTTTTATATATATATACATCATGAAGCCACCACTGAAGTCAAGACAGAGAACGTTCCCCAGCTTCACAGACTCCTGGTGCCCCTTCCTGGTCAATATACAGCCCTTCTCTGAGAAGCAGCCCCAACCTGTCTTTCCATGAGCTTGTTTTGCCTGATCTTGAACTTCCTACGAAAGGAATCCCACAATACCTGTGCGTCTTTTGTGTCTTCTGCCTTCTTTCTCACCAGCCCATCTCCCACACCCTCTTTCTTTGGTAAAGGGGCTTTGTTTGCCTTTGGGTCCTGCCCCTCCTTCACATTCAGTCCATCTAGTTTGGGGGACTCTCTATGTCCCCCAGCCCTATCTCCAGAGATGCACATGTGAACCAGCCTGGTGCATGAGCTTGCCACAGCTGCAGTGAAAAATTGCCACAAAATTAGCGGCTTCCTATACCACCAGTGTATTTTCTTTTCTTTTCTTTTCTTTTTTTTTTTTTTCAAGACGAGTCTTGCTCTGTCACCCAGGCTGGAGTGCAGTGGCATGATCTCGGCTCACTGCAACCTCCGCCTCTGGGCTCAAGTGATTCTCCTGTCTCAGCCTCCCAAGTAGCTGGGACTACAGGTGTGCCAACAGTGTATTTTCTTACAGCTCCAGACCTCAGAAGTTTGAAATGGGTTTTGCTGGATCAAGAGGTGTCAGCAAGGCCAAACTCCCTCTTGGAAGTTCTAGGAGAGAATCATTTATTCGCCCTTCCCAGCTTCTAGAGGCTACTCACATTCCTTGCTAGAGCCGTTTCCTCCATCTTCAAACCTTGGCTCCAACTATGCTTCCAAGGCCACCTCTTCTCTCTCAACTTCCCCTGATAAGGACTATTGTGATTATACCAGGGCCACCCAGACAGCTGGGGAGAACGTCCCCATCTCAGGATCTTCAATTTAAATCTATCTGTAAAGACTCTTTTGCCATAGAAGGTAACACATTCCCAGGTTTCAGGGATTAGGATATGGACATAGGGGAAGGGGATGATGTGTAGACATTATTCAGCCAGTGAGTGCATCTGGCCATTGGGAACATTCCATCCCCTGGTCATCGTGACTGACTCTAATTGAACCATGACCCAAACCAGTCCAGTGAGAGCTGCCTCAAGGGCTTTTGCTGAAACTCTATAGTAAGCAGTAAATGGGTAGGGTACAAGCCTGAAGCTGCTGTAGGACCAAACCTTAATTATTGCTTGGGAAGTTTGCCTGACATTGAAGACAACATAAAAGAGAGTAGAGCCATGGCCCGTAGACATGGCTACATGCATGAGCACATGTGTGCACACACAGGCACACACAGGCACGCACACACACGCACATGCACGTGCACGCATATGCACACACACACACATGCTATTCTGATGACAATGTCTAAATATCTGAATCCAGCCCTGCCTGAAACTCGTAGCCCTTCAGAATTTTGGGCCACATGAGCCAGAGTATTTTCCTTGTATCTTACGTCCATTTGAGTTGAGTTTCTGACATTTGCAATAGAAAGAGACCTTAGAAACACATACCTATGATTCTTTTCCCCCAAAGACTCTGGAAT